AACTGCCAGCCCCATTCAAGTTTTTTTTTTTTTTTGTCAGAATGCGTGCGCACTTGCAAGAGAGAGAGGCAGAGAGACAGAAAGAGGGAAAGGGAGAAAGCACCTCCCAGTGGAGGAACAGTCACACTGCAATCCCTTCCCCCCTTCCTTTCCTGTCAGGATTTTGATCATCTGCACACATGTGCCTAGCATGTTTTTCAAACCACCGTGCGTGGGACTCAAACTGTGGTTAGCTATGTGGTGGGATCCAGCTCCCTTAACTACTAGGCCACTGGGAGCTCTACCTTGAGTTTGTTTGTTTTCTAGAAGGTGCATGTGGCTCTCCATAAAGAGACAGAGAGACAGGGAGAGAGGGAAAGGAGAAAGCCCTCCCTCATGGGGATTGGTCACGCTGCAATTCCTTCTTCTCCATCTTACCTTCCTTTCTAGATTTTGGGCACATATGCACACGCACATGCACCTAGCATGTTTTTCCACTCGCTGGGTCTGGGAATCAAATTGTGTAGTCAGCCACGTGGAGACACAAAGAGAGAGGGCCAGTGAGAAAGCAAGTCACCAGGTCCGGGACTCGAACCGTGGTCAGCCATGTGGGAATCCAGCATCTCACCATCTGCTGGTCCCTAAACTCAGGAAAATTAAGAGATATTTTAACCGAATGCAATATTTAGAATCTGATTCAAAAAATATTAGCTATAGGGAACCAGCAGTTGGTGTAATGGCTATGTCGCTAGATTCCCATGTAGTCCACCGCGGTTCATGTCCCAGACCCGGTGGCTTAAAACTCACGCTGGGCGCATGTGCGTGCGTGCCCAAGATCCCGAGAGGAGAATGGAGGAGAAGGGATTGCGGCGTGACCGTCCCCCCTGGGGGGTGATTTCTCGCTTTCTGTCTCTCTGTCTCTGTCTGTCTGGCGAGCACACGTGCCCTATAGCAAAAATCTCTCCAAAATAAAACCAAAAATACTAGCCATAAATTTCACTGCCACCACCCCTTTTTTAAAATTTTATTTATTCACTCATTTAATTGCAACAGAGAGAGACACACATAGAGAGAGAGGGAAAGTGAGAAAGCAAGCTACCAGGTCCGGGACTGGTCACCTGTATGGGAATGTCCTATGCCTTAACCACCATGGTACCTGCTGGCTCCACCCATCCCCTTTTTAAGAATTATTTTATTTATTTATTTGGTAAGAAAGAGATAGAGAGAGAGACAGAGAATGCAAGCTACCAGGTCAGGGACTTGAACTGCTGTTGGCCAGGTGCGAGTTCAGTGCCTTAACTACCATGCCACCTGCTGGCCCCAACCCTGCCCCCTTTTTTAAAACAACAAATGCAAGAAGACTGGGTACTGGTTGGTATTAAGAAATCATTGTTGACCTCGGTGGGTATGATAATGATACTGTGTTTATTTTTGGGAAATCCTTATCTAGAAAAAATATTTAAGGAATAACTGAAGAATACCTCCATGTGCAAGCTACTCCTTAAATACCTCGGGGCATGCTTTACAGAAATCTAACCCAAGGCACCGCCTTGAAGAAAGAGCATAATTTACACGACTTATTTGTAAACAGACACACACACCAAGAAGCGGAGGGATCCCAGATGAAGGAGGATTTGCTATATGGGAACTGTGACGTGGAGTGTTGGGCATTAGAAGATGTGTTAGAGTATTTCCTTCTGTGTGGGCTAGAAATTCCATAATAAATAAGCGAAGGAAACAGAAGGGGTGGGATCTGAAGAGACAAGATTTCTACCTCGTACACTGGCCCCACGGCATAGTCTGTGAAAAACGCGATGGCCGGCTTAGCCAGAAACACTGGAGTGTTGGCACAGCTGGGAAGAGGAAGGAGGAAGGCTGTTAGTTTCATCTGCACAATCAAATACTATTCCATGCTTAATCAATGAAGAATTAGGACCAGCAGGTGGCGTGGTGGTTAAGGCGCTGGACCCTCCCACATGGCCAAACATGGTTTGAGTCCTGGACCTGGTGGCTTGCTTTTTCACTCTCTCTCTCTCTCTCTCTCTCTCTCTCTCTCTCTCTCTCTCTCTCTCTCTCTCTCTCTCTCTCTCTCTCTCTCTCTCTCTCTCTCTCTCTGTGTGTGTGTGTGTCTCATCAAATTAAAATAAATGAATGAATAAATAAAAATTCTTTTAAAAGACCCTACTGACTTACTGAGTATTCTCTCTGTCCCTCTCACTTGTGAAGAAATAAATAAGTAAACTCAAAAATAAACACTTCCAAGCCATCAGAGATATTCACAATATAAGACCAGCAATTAGCATAATGGCTATGTTGCTGGACTCCCACGTAGTCAACTGTGGTTCGAATCCCAGACCCAGTGGCTTAAACTCAAGCGAGGTATGTGTGAGTGCGTGCCCAAGACCCTGAGAAGAAAATGAAGGAGAAGGGATTGCGGCGTGGCCATCCCCCCAGGGGGGTGATTTCTCGCTTTCTGTCTCTGTCTCTCTCTGTCTTTTCTGGCAAGTGCATGTGTCCAATAGCAAAAACCTTGCCAAAAAAAACCCAAAAATATTACTTGTTGAGTGTGTTTGAATTTTTTTTTGTTAAAGTAGATTACAAAATAATTTCATAGCATCACCCAATAGTTTTGAAGGCATATGAAGCTATAAACATACTTTAAAAAAATTATTCCCAGAAGGGTGTGTAGTTGCCGGGGAGAGAGGAGGGAGGGCAAGGGAGAAAACATCCCTCCAGGGGGCCATGGTCACGCTACAATCCCTTCTCTGTGTTCCAACAGAGGGTCTTGTCAGGATGGGGTCCGTGTACACAGGCACCTGGCATGTTTTTCAAGCCACCAGAGCCGGGATTGGAACCATGGTTGGCCATGTGGGATTCGGCTCTCTTCACCACATCAGGGGAAACCAGCATGGAATTTCATTTTCTTTCTTTCTTTTTTTTTTTTTTTGGAGAGGTTTTTGCTATAAGGCACGTGCGCTCACCAGACAGAGAGAGACAGAGAGATAGAAAGCGAGAAATCACCCCCCAGGGGGGATGGCCACGCCGCAATCCCTTCTCCTCCAGGGATCTTGGGCACGCACGCACATGCACCTGGCGTGAGTTTAAGCCACCGGGTCCGGGATGCGAACCGTGGTCGACAACGTGGGAGTCCAGCGACATAGCCATTACGCTAACTGCTGGTCCCGAAATTTCATTTTCAATATGGATAGGAGAAGCTCTGGAAGCTTAAACACCAATAAGTTAACTCAGTGTTTTTTGTTTTCTTTTTTCCCGTAAAGAATTATTTTTAAAATTTAACTTTATTTATTCGTTTATTTATTTTAATTTGCCCAGAGAAGGAAGGAGAGAGAGAGGGAGAGAGAAAGTGAGAAAGCAAGACACCAGGTCTGGGACTCAAACTGTGGTCAGCCATGTGGGAGTCCAGTGCCCTTAACGACCATGCGCCACCTGCCAGCCCCAAGTTAACTGAGTTTTATTAATAAATAAAAGTGTTGTTTGCCTTTTGAATTAATCTTTTTAAAATTTTTCTTCTTCTTCTTTTTAATGTTTTGCCATAGGACACAAGTACCTCCTAGAAGGAGACTGAGAGAGGAAAAGTGAGAAATCACCTCCCTGGGGGCATGGCCACATCACAGTCTTTTCCCTGTTCTCCTCTCGGGATTTTGGGCATGCACACACATGTGCCTGGCATGGTCTTCAAGTCCCAGGTCCGGAATTCCAACTGTAGTGAACCATATGGGACTCGAGCACCTGCTGGCACCTCTAACTTTTCCATAATAAAAAGATGTATTTGTCTAATAAAGAACATTAAATTTGAGGGAACCAGCAGTTAGCGTAATGGCTATGTCGCTGGATTCCCACGTAGTCGACCGCGGTTCGCGTCCCGGACCCTGTGGCTTAGAACTCATGCCAGGCGCATGTGCGTGCGTGCCCAAGATCCCTAGAGGAGAATGGAGAAGGGATTGCGGCATGACCATCCCCCCTGGGAGGTGATTTCTCGCTTTCTGTCTCTCTGTCTCTCTCTGTCTGTCTGGCAAGTGCATGCGCCCTATAGCGAAAACCTTTCAAAAAAAAAAAAAAAAAAGAACATTAAATTTGAGTCCCACACCTGCCTGGTGGCTTGGAAAACACACTGGGAGACCAGCAGATGGTGGAGCAGTTAGATCACTGGACTGCCACGTAGTCAACCACAGTTCGAGTCCCAGACCTGATGGCTTAAAACTCATGCCAGGCACATGTACATGTGTGCCCAAGATCCCGAGAGGAGAATGGAGGATAAGAGATTGCGGCGTGGCCATCTCCTACGGAGGAGATTTCTCATCTTCTGCCTGTCTCTGTCTCCCCAGTGAGTACACATGCCCTATTGTTGCAGAAAGCAGACTGCAGAGAAGCCACGTGCCACTCCGGCCACTCCGAGCAGGAGAACTCGGGTTTATCATGCTGGCAGTCCCCGAGCAGCTCCTACTCCAAAGTCTGACCCCAACTCGTGGAAGTTACAGGGGTTATTTATGGACGTTGCAGACCCAGGGAACCAGAAAAGTCCCCAAAGAGCTGCAAAACCATTGAACTCCAGCTTGTAACATTTCCCAGAGGGAATTGACAAAGGTGGAACAGAAACATTTCCTGCTTGCAAGCAGCTTTTTAGCGAACATTATCCATATCATTCAAGCAAAAAATAGCTCTTAAAACAAGAAAGAAAGAGGGCCCAGCAGGTGGCGTGGTGGTGAAGGCCCTGGACTCCCACATGGCTGACCATGGTTTGAGTCCCAGACCTGGCAGCTTTCTCTCTCTGGTCAAATAGAATAATAATAATAAATAAATAAAATTAAATGAATAATTCTTTTAAAAAAGAGAGAGAGGGGAAAAAAAGAGAAAGAGAAAGGAAGGAAGAAAAGAAGGGAGGGAGAGAAAGAAGGAAGGAAGGAGGGAGGAAGGAAGAAAAAGAAAAACACACCGGGCACACGTACATATGTGCCCAAAATGCAGGGAGGAGAATGGAAGAGCAGTCATTCCTGTGTGGCCACCCTCCCAGAAGGCTGCATGCTTACTCCCCCACCCCACCCCTGTTTTCCCCGGGCAACATGTGCCCTATACCACATTTTTCAAAAAAGAAATATTAACAGTTTTAGGTCCATTAAAATGATGAAATCACAAAGCTGCTCATTCATTTCTTAATGACCATCATTGAAATAGAAAGATACTCTTTTTTTTTGGAGAGGTTTTCGCTATAGGGTGCGTGCGCTCGCCAGACAGACAGAGAGAGAGACAGAGAGACAGAAAGCGAGAAATCACCCCCCAGGGGGGATGGTCACGCCCCAATCCCTTCTCCTCCATTCTCCTCTCGGGATCATGGGCACGCACACACATGTGCCCTGTGTGAGTTCTAAGCCACCGGGTCCGGGACTCGAACTGTGGTCGACTACGTGGGAGTCCAGCTACATAGCCATTATGCTAACTGCTGGTTCCCGAGAAAGACGCTCTTAAAGATAAATCGTGACTGACCCTCATTATCTGCACATAAGTGAAATTTGTTTTATCTAAGACATTTGAATCTAGCGGAGAAAGCACATGGCTATGCAGATCCCCATCTGACCCACACTGTTCAGATGTGAAGAAAGGGTCAGTTCCAACCCCTATTTCTCAAGACTCTGGCAGGTCAGAAAAGCACAAAGCCAGGACTTTGAGGGGGCACACAAAGGTTGACCCCAAAGGTCTGCTCTGTGCTGACGCTTTACCAACGCCCCCGAAAAGTCTAGGGCCCTCCATAGCCAGACCAGACTGAGGACTTCTGGGTTTTACTCTAAGAGTCGGATGTTCTGGGAGTCCACGTCAGCAGGGGGCATACCTCTGTCCTGGCTCTGCGCTCTGGAAAGCTCCTACCTGGGCTGGCTTTTCTGGACGGAAAACGAGAGACCTGCCTCCGTGCGGGGTGTTAGGAGGGAAAAAGCGAGGGTTTTTTAGGAAGCGGCTCCGATGCTCCATCCTGGCGAGCTGCAGTCGCTCCAGCACCCTCTGTGGCACACGTAAGTGGTTCATCCAGTTTTTATTCTTGGATGGACTCGCCTTTTTTGAGACACACAAAGAAGAGAGTCAGGACAGGCAGAGGGGCCGTGTGCATTGACATCTTGGCCAACTGCGTGGCCCAAGGGTGGCCGATACAAACTCTGCTCTTCCGTTTGCTGTGGATTCATCAAACTTCTTGTGTCACCTAAGCTCCCCCCTCCGCCCTACCACCCTGTCCTTGCTGCCCACACGGCTGGGCACAGGCTTGAAAACTAACCGGGAGGGTTTCTTTGGTCTTCTGTTTGGGTGTCAGAGTTGAGTCCTGCATGAGGCTGTCCATAGTGTAGTCTAACTCATCTTCCAACTCGGTGACCTTCTTGCGTGAATCTTCCGGCCTCTGGTTCCGGTCTTTCTTTGGGACTGAACGCTTCTCACAGCTAAATGTCAGTTTTGAACATCCAGGGGGAAACATGCCTGTGGCACCGTGGAAACAAATCAAGTTATTGTCCCAAGGTGAGGAGGTGGGCGTTTCTAGGATGATTGAATGAAACCACTGAAGTCACAGCTAGCTTGGTATTTTCTCCTAAATGTTCACATTTGCTACACCGATATACTTGCTCCTTAGTATATGAATCACTCCTAGAACTTATTCTCTGTATTGAAGACTTAGGGCTAGACCATTACAATATTTTTCAGTTTCCCAACACAGTCAAAGAACATGTGTGATCACTGAACATGTATGATCGCTATCACACATACACAGATGCGCACACATAATACTGTAGGTGAACGTGGTTTTTGAAAATTTTGCACAAGGAACTGAAATTTGTACTCAGTTTTACACCTTTAAGATCATCCCTCAGAGGGAACAGCAGTTAGCGTAATGGCTATGTTGCAGGACTCCCACGTAGTCGACCGCGGTTCGTGTCCCAGACCCGGTGGCTTAAAACTCACGCCGGGCACGTGTGCGTGCACGCCCAAGATCCCGAGAGGAGAATGGAGGAGAAGGGATTGCGGCGTGGTCACCCGTCCTGGGGGGTGATTTCTCACTTTGTCTCTCTGGCAAGCACATGCATTGTATAGCAAAAATCTCTCTAAAGAAAAAAATTCGTGGAATTAACGTACAGGTTTCTTTTGGCACACCAATAATAATAATAAAAAGGAAACCCATGCATTATTTTTTCCTAATAGTAATTTTCTGCAAACTTTTTGAAGATCCCCTTCTATGTGTCAGCTCCGTCTTTACTAACCTGATTAAGATAGTGAGTTTCCAACTAACGTTGAAATACTGTGTGGCTCAGCATCCCATGACTCTGACTCCACTAGAAACTTCGGGCTGTACTTCCCGACACCGTTCAGGCCACCAGCGCCACTCTTTTCTTTTCTTTTCTTTTTTTGGAGGGGGAGAGGTTTTTGCTATAGGGCGCGTGCGCTCGCCAGACAGACAGAGAGAGACAGAGAGACAGAAAGGGAGAAATCACCCCCCAGGGGGGATGGCCACGCCGCAATCCCTTCTCCTCAATTCTCCTCTCGGGATCTTGGGCACGCACATGCACCCGGCGTGAGTTTTAAGCCACCAGGTCCAGGACACGAACCGCGGTTGACTACATGGGAGTCCAGCGACATAGCCATTACACTAACTGCTGGTCTCAGCATTTCTTTTGATGTCGGGCAGCTGAAAAGGGCATCCTCTTCCAGCGGAGGCACTGGCACTCCGTCTCGCAAGTGTTAGAGAGCTGGTGAAGGGCACGCTCAGATTCCACCCTCCCGAGAGTCACTAAATTCAAGAAGCGGTTGCGGCAGGATGACTCCTCTGAACGAGGGGATGGCAGCGAGGATGGCCAGTGTGTCCCTGTTCCTACAGAACTCCCTGGGAGGATATCGGAGACTCGGAGGACACAGAAGCCCTACCTTTAGGCGCAGAGCAAAACGGCACGGTATCGCTGTAGTAATCCTCGGGGCAGATCAGATGATGTCTCTGTAGCAGCTCGCTGTCGATACACCATCGGAAGACAGACTTCACTACAGCCGGGAACAAAGACAGAGGCGTTGCAAGTCAGACCGACGTTCAAGAACCTGCACCCTAACGCTCCGCGTCCTGTGAGCCCAAACCCAACTAACAGAGCTCCTTCTCAGAACCTTGTGGCTATGCTGAGGTTTACAAAGAAAGTTAAGTAAAATTATTTTTTTTTAAACTTTTTTAAGAATTATTTTCCTTTATTTTATTTATTATTATAATTATTTTCCAGTTTGCTCAGAGAGAGACAGAGAAAGAGAGAGAAGGAAAGTGAGAAAGCAAGCCACCAGGTCTGGGACTCGAACCGTGGTTGACCATGTGGGAATCCAGCACCTTAAACCACTACGCCACCTGCCAGCCCCAATAAAATAATTCTTAAAACATATCACATGCACAGAAGGTGCAACAGCAGGAGTGAACCGGGATGTAAATCATGGACTTCAGAAGTACTGGCGTGTCAGTGTAGGTTCATCAGCTGTAACAAACGTACACTCTGCTGGAGGAGGTTGATTCGGGGGTGCGGGGTGGGGGGCTGTGCATGTGTGGAGACTGGGAGCACGTGGGAACTTTCTGCATCTTCCAATTTTGCTCCAAACCTGTAACTGCTCTAAAGACGAAAATCTATTTTAAAAAAAGGGGGGGGGACCAGCAGTTAGCGTAATGGCTATGTCACTGGACTCCCA